TCCCTAGTTTGTAGTGGTATGTGCACATTTTATTCCAATATCCAAGGATCTGACATTAATGTAGTCTTTCTACTTAAAAATCTCGTACTTTCTGAGAGGAAGACAGCAAGGAAGTACAGTTAGTACAGTGATTAGTCTACAGGCTGATTTCCAATAGGGGCACAAGACTTTTCTCACAGTTACAACATCCAGACCACCTCTGGTATCCATCCAGCCTCTTATCTAATAGCTATTGGGGCCCTTTCCCTGGGGATACAGTAGTTGGGGCATGAAGCTGACCGTTCACCTCCATCCAGTGCCAAAGGTCAAGAAAAGTGAAGCCTATACTTCTACAACCGATACATTTTCATGATATGACATTTGACATGTACCAGGAATAACTTTACTTTTACTACAACTAAGACAGTTTGTATCAGTAAAGCAAGATTTAAAAAAAAAATTAAAATGTTAACTTATATAAACATATGTTAAATTCATTATTTAGTACCCTCCCATTTTTCATAATGAATCAAATTAATGTAATCTTTAGAAGGAACTGGGGTTCAAATATCAGCCTGGAGACTCACTACACTAACTCAGGGTTTTCATGATTTTATCAGTCCCTCCTGTCAACTGATGATATAATACCTTAAATTAGGTCATGACTGCTTCCTTCCACATCCTTTCCAATCCATTATTCACTAGTCATCCTTATATTTGAAGCTATATAATGTAGGCAATTGAAAACATCAATAAATGCATTTGAAAAAATTAGTAACACATTTCTGCACATCTATCAAGCTGTATAGTGCCTTCAAAATGCAAATCAGATGTACAGAAATGTCATCCATAATCATCAACTTTCACTTACCCTCCTAAATAATACGGACAAACAATAAACTACCAACCACAAAAATAATATTCTATAAAAATTTGGATGGGAGAAGCCATGATGGACTTCGGATAGTCTTAAACCTTTATTTTCCATTTGTCACTTTTACGCACATGATCCATCTGGCTGTGTCAGAGTAATTAACCCTCGGACTTAAAAGGTTAACTTAATCCCTTGTGCCCTTCGTCAAATGGAAATTTCATATCCCTGCAATCTTATACAACCGTTTAAATGTTGGTTCTTGTTTGAAGAAACCATCTTGTTTGTTACGTTCCACGGCAACATAAAATTTATATTTGGAAAGTTCATAAATAGTTAGCTTTAATGAAGAAAAAAGACTTCACTGTATTCAACTGCCATAAAAGCTTCAATATTGAAGACTCTTAATTGTTCAGAATCCTTGTATCACCCACAAACCTTGCATGTGTTTCATATGCAATTCTTTGTTTTTCATGTAATGACTTGTACATGATGTCCAGGTCTGGATGAGTATATCTAGTCATGTTTTTATATATTTTTAAGGACAAATTTTTCTCCTTATTTTGGTAACCTATTACATGTACGTGCAGAAAGACACACATGTAGCTCTCTCCAATTAAATAAGGTGTTTCTGGACAATCTACCTCTGTTCAAGAAGTGATGTTTCAAAACTTAATCAAATTCAAAAGGTCGTGTGAATACAAAGGCAAAAACTTCTAATGGAACTACAGTCACGTATCATACAAGCTTCATCGGATGGAAAAATGTACGTAGCAGAGGGCAATAGTCATTTTTGCAACATTGGAACATACAAAAATTCATATGACAATATGCCTTACTGAAGAGCACATGCAAACATCAAGTATGTGCATTATTTGCATATCACCTGAACAATCATGGTCAATTATTTGAAAAAACCCAAATAATATGCCAAAGCACATAGCAGCTTATACCTCTTGTTGAGTTTTCCATTATGATTAATTAATTTAAAACTCAAATACCTGTAGCATTTATTCATGACTTTTAACAAAACTAAGCCATATGCAAACATTAAAGTAACTGAACGTAAATTTGTTAGTGGAATTTTCTTCGTATCCAAGTGAATGGTTAAAGATGGAGCTATGTTCCATTGAACTTAAATTAAGTACTGGTACTTGGAGTTCCGAATGCAGTCTTGCTGGCCTATAACACAGGTTAATGTTAAAACAATTCGATAATGCACTTCTTTATACTTGTAGGCTATTGTATGACAGTTTATATTTATACATCAGAGTGAAATCACCATTTTTCTCTTATTTTAGTGTGTATAACTTGCTTCACTTAGTATGATTCATTCTATATACAAAATGTCCCAAGAAACATTTTCCAAACTTCAGGTGGCTAATCATTAGCTTATTTTGTGTAAAAAATGTATCAACGTGGGTTGAAATCTCAACTGTTACGAGGTTATGGTACATGGAAAAGGAGGAAATTCAAATAAATATGCTGATTAAATAAAATCATTTTAATTAAAGAAACTAGTCATCTACATGGGAATGGTATTCTATTCATGTTTAACATATGTTGTAACATAACATACATACTTATGCAAGGGCTTGCTGTTCGAAATGACCTGCACATGCTTCTTTCTGTATGTTTTCATGATTGTTCCATATGACAGCACCACTGTCCATGATATGCCATTGGAGTTCATCTTGTTTGAAACTTCTCCAGATAAACAAAGTTGCTGCCACTGAGTCCCAGCACCTGTGGAAGGAACTCTCCTGGAATATGAAAACTAGCAGTTAGAAATGGCTGATTGTCGTAGATACGAATACTTAATTGGAAGTTTATTCAGAACTGTGGCAGTTAATCAATGTCAATTTAAAGATAAACTCTAACAGAAAGGGGGGGGGGGGCGCCACAAGGACAGAAGAATTACTCAAAATAAGGCGAAGAATAATCACCTGAAGCTTGGCAGATGTTTTGTAGGACAGCCTGTATAGTCCTTGTTTTACATGGGATTGTATTACAAAACAAAAGCCAAATGTAGCTCCATTAGAAGAAATTTCCTGCCCATGCTAACTGAACCTTTCACATTAAATTAGTCCTCTAATGTCACTACTTTAGAAAGGAACATAATTCAGAAACATTCTGTATTTATATAAAGCTACTGTGATATACTACATTAGATTAGAGATAGACAATCAAAAACATTGTTCCTTAAGTACTTAGGACAAATGTAACAGAGATATACTTTAAACTTTGCTTCTATAGATGTGTGTAGCACTCAAAGGGTTAATTAAGAAGAAAACAATGTAACGTTATCTGTGTTATATTTAACCCACAAAATGGTTACTAATGGTCTCTTAATATAAAATTAGTGAAGAAAAAATTATACACCATGAATTCCCATTTAATGTTTCTCAATTTCAGAAATTTACATAACTTAAAAATTAAATGTTTGTAGCTTAGTCAATTATTTCAGTGACAGGTTTTCTCTAATTAAGAATATCCTCAGTTTAGTGACAAAACCACTGTCTTCTAGAGAAAGGTTAAAAGGGGATTTCAATTTATTTTCATTACCACCCACAAGTTTATCACTCACTTTTTATGTCTACTGCAAGAAGTGAAGTACAATGTAGAAAATATGTTTCCTGCATGTGAAGAGATACAGCACTCAGATATCTCAAAGTCTCATCATATTTTTATTTATAGTTCACCTCCATTCTATATCTCTCTGGGAGACAATGGATATGAACACTGCCAAAAAACTTAAATTGAGATAATATAACACTGTAATACTGGAGATGAGCCTGAGGAAAAGCTACACTAAATGGTAGATAATCTTATATCGGGAAATATTAAATTGGAATTCCACTGTCTATTTTATTCAGTAAACATTTGTTTTGTTATACTGTGCTAAAAGATGCAAATGTTATTAGTGTGCAGCAGCACAAATATATTTTATGCACAGCTTTTGCATTCTTCAAGTTTGGACAACATAAGTATAATCCAGTTTCTGCATGAGTTGTTATATATAAGTGGTTATAATTCTTAAGACAACCTGTATTTATGTGCCCACATGCACAGTTACTTTGTTTGATTCATGAAAAAGACCCAGATAAAGAGACAGCTGCTAAATTACACAAACAAAAATCAACTCCTTCAACCTCAGAAATCACGTGAGTTATTAAGCAAGGACCACAGGATTCATCTATTGACAGCTGTACTCTCTCCATCTCCACCTACACAATTTAATCTCTAAAATTTCTAGTATCCTTAATTTGAGGCAATTAAGTGAGCTTCAGAAGTATTTCGGTAAGAGGCAATATTATAATCATTAAATAACATGAAGATTTCTGTCGTCTGGGTTGTTGCACTGTGTACATGAATATCATCGCCCTGATGACGGAGGCAGTATGACCTCCGAAACGTTGGTTAACATCGGTCCTTTCCCGGGGGTAAAGCCGGCCGGGGCGTGATGCTGACCACTCACCCCCCATCTAGTGCCGAGGTCAAGGAAGAGAGGAGCTATACCTCCTCTCACCCCAAACGCCTACATGGCGTATAGTGGGACAAACTTTACTTTACTGTGAAAACCTCAAATCTTACATTAAATAACATACTTCCTAATATAAGCTCATTATTTAATACCATAGTCATATGTCTTGGTTACTGTAACATCATTTCACTTTTAACAAGTTTACCAGAGAAAATCCACCACTCAGTAAAATAACCCCTATTGTTAATATTCAGTTTATGGGGAGAAAGGCCTTCAGCTTACTCATTTCTGAGAAATTCAGCTACTGCATAAATTGGAATATACCCATATATTACTGCATTACAATGTTTTTGCTCTGTAAGTTAATGATGATGCAAAAGATGGTGATTTGAATCCTTTCATAAATTCTTATACATTTCAAGCACACAATTATAAAATTTCCAGTAAACATGTTATTGCAGCTACTGTAATAGGTTAGCAACACCAATATTTAATATTAGTCCTGGGATGTTTATATTTACTAACATGACAGTATTGTACATGTATTTATTTTATGTACATGGATGATTGTTACCCACAAAGAAATGTCCATCACAAGCACTCGTAGTTTTTCATTCAACTGAGACAATAAAACCTTGTTCTGAAGAGCATTTGTACACTTTCAGAAAATATTACCCAATGCCACAAATAAATAGCAATTTGCAGCAGAGTGAGTTTCTGTGTAGAAATAATTGCATATAATATGAATACACAGATCAGTCATAAAAAACTCAAAATTCAATATGCACAAGGGAAATGCGCAAATTTTGATTAGCAAATACAAAGGAAAGGAAGAGTTAGGAATACTCGAGAAGAGACGTTAAAAAATTCAATGATCATCAGTAGACATTTTAAGTTTTAACAGATAAAGTCCTTTAAAACCAATATGTCCACTAACATCTCATGTCCAGAAAAGATTTAGCAATACCAAATGGTGTCCATTAAATCTGAAATCTGTTAAATCAAAGTGTTTGCTGTATTTGCTAAAAACTGTAACTATCCCTGAAGATATGCCCAACTCTGATATTCGTTTCTATGCCGAACTGAATGAAACAATTCAGTGTTGCTTTTTCCTATGTTTTTCAGCATTTTCATACAATTTAAATGTCTTATTACATTAAAGGTTCATAAACTTGTACCATTGTAAAAATGTAGTTGTCTGCACATATTTCTGATACAGCAGTGCACTACATTAAATATTCATCGCAACAGAAAATGTTTCTAAATCAAATAACTGTTTCATCATGTACAAAATGTTTGTAGGATTTTTTTTCATAAAACTGATGAAGTTTGATTTGAGCTTCACCTAAAAAAGGAGTTATACTAGACTGATATAAAACAAATTTAAAGTCAACTTTTACTGTAGATTTTCTAACACCAACTTTCACTGAAATCGAAAAGGTAGTTACAGAAATTAAACATGTGGACAGACATACATTTCTTCATTATGTATTCATTTTATTCAATTTGTGTATAAAACAAAATAACAAGCAACCAAACATCATATTTTGCGCAGACAAGCTAGAGAAACAGTTTTAAACATGTTTAATTATTTCAATCATGAAGTGGGCAAAGGTGGGGGTCTGTAACTCACATAACTTTTACTTTCTGAATAGATCAGCAATGTATGTGGCAAAATGAACATTTTTTCCAACTTTTAACAAACATTTGGAAATATTTGTACACACAGGAGAACGTGAGCCAATAAATTATAAACATTCAAATGGTTATGTATAGCACAAACTTCAGCATACAAAAGATTCAATGTTACTATGTTCTTAATTATAAAGGTTATAAAAATTGTATTTGCTTATTATTATTATTTTTATGGTAGGAATTACATTAAATTCCTATACTGATTAAATCCTACCATACACATTACAGCTACAGGCTGTATTATGTAAAACCTCTCTTTACCTGTAATACATTTATAAATCATATAATGAAACTTACTATATTGAACATCTGAACTCACCAACAATATGGTTACACGCGATGATTCGTAATCATTTTTCTTCTTCACTTGGTGACTTCTGTTGTATCTCGATATGTTTCCGTAAGTGCCCAAGTAAAGTTTGTTGATGATGTGTTAAGTTCTGTGTTAACTTCACAGCAGCTGAGTTGAGAATTGCCACCAATCCAGCTTGAGCTGTCTGAAGATCTGGCATCTTGCTGTACTTCACCAGTTCATTCTTACTCATCAACCTACCATCCACAATGGCAGCTAGAACAGAAAAACATCACAAGAAAGAAATTAGAATAATGTTGATCATTCATCACTTTTGTGTGTCTAACAATCTTCAACTACATTATTTATTTCAGGTCTCTCATTTACTTATTTTGTCTACCTACGTTTATCCACCTAAGTTCCCTAAATTTTTAATTTCTATAACCTCTATTCTTCATGCGATGTCCATGTCTCACTACCATATTTTATTTTGTCAAAGTATCTTTAAGTTCTCTAATATATAGCGCAGAATATTAATGGTGATTTTAAATTTTAAATTTTAACATCTACAATTTAAAAGTTTGTGTATAGACTTGAATAATAAATATATATTTGAATTTTGAACACAAACATGACGCATCTAAACTATAAATATTATTATTTTGTTTGTCACCCTATGTTCATGTTTCACTCTGCTCTTTTATCACAAGCTATTTCTATGTACGTCAAACAAACAAACAAGCACAGAAACCTACAAAGACAGACAGGTGAAGGAGAACAGATGATCTACATCATGATGGATTACAAGATGCGATATTCAATATTTTGAAAGAGTTCCGTTCAAAACAGTTGTATTCAGCAATTGCCATAATATCTGTTTTTAAACACAAAGTGGTACACTAGCACAGTTATAAAATTCCAAGATCTCTGGACTTAAAAGGGGTTTCAAAAAAATACATTGATACATGTGTAAGACGCATAACTTCTGTCACGAAGAATGTTTGTCCTAAGACTGTCAAAAGTATTTAGAATAGCTACAAAGATGTCTAGAATTAACAATTCACGAGATTCTTTCCAAGCAGGTTAGAGCAGCAATAATATTATTTTTATATAATAGCAAAGCTTGTCACTGACATTCTTCATTCCATAACAAAAATTACACGTCTAAGAAACATATTTTTCCCCTCATATTAACAATTACAATTTATTGGGCAGTTTGGTGTATCAGTAACGCTATATACTTCTATTTGGAAGGTACTCTGAACACATTCCAGCTTACCAGACATCATGAAGTTAATCTACTTTTTCTTGTCTCTCCAGTACCTTCAAATAGGCCAAGACCTTCACCATTTAAATTCTTACCTACTTGCCCTTTACGATCACATTATTTTTTAATATAACAAAATGTAATCTCTGCAATTGAAACAGCAGTGTAATTTTAAACTGTTATATAATGATATTACTGAATACTGAACTCCTTCGCTGTGTCACTGAAATTGTGCCACAAAGGAAATTTTCACCCGAAATACCTACCCATGAGAACAAACTGAGGCATTCTTCTGTTTAATTTCAACAATTGTGATACTTGAAGTTCCTCACTGAAAACTATGAAATTTCTTGATGTGAACAGTGTAAGAACTGGTTCATAATTTGTTTCTTCTAAAGCCATTGTAATTACCTTCTTTCCATATTGTTTTAAATGCATATTCTGCTTCTTCAACATAATATTGATCTAAAACAAGAAATTCCACAAATTAACAAGAGTTTATTGTTTATTTAACGATGCTTGTATTATCCCAACATCTGCCTGGAGAACTGAGGAAAATCACAAAAACCCCAGTCAGGACAGCCAGTATCTGGGTCAAGATTTAAACCCTGGACCTCTCAAATACAAAGCAAGAGCGTTAACCACTCACCACAACGTTCGGTTAACTAGATCTGATCTGGTAAAGGTCAGTAGGATTTGAGGTTCTCATAACTGTAAGTATGAAGATGGCTGACTTCTGGGTTGTAACACTGAGTAGTCTGAAGTTTGACAATGTTTCAGAATTCCTTGCTGTCTCCATCATCACCCTCATGATGGAGGCAGAAAGGACCCCTGAAATGGTGGTAAACCTCTACCAAATTACACGGCACCACAACCCAGAAGACAGCCATCTTAGCAAAGGTCAGTTAACATTTATTTTGAAAAACAACCCAAAAAATGATGAAAAAGTCATGTTAGCTATTTTCAATAAAATGTTTAATACAAAACTTGTATATATGTTTATAATTCCTGGCACAAAAAAATATTTCATATAAAGTTCACAATCATGTCCATAACAATTCAATTACATTAAATCTCATTCAGAGAGCTCCAATTCTTCATCAGTTTTTGCCAGGAAATCTCCATTTAACACTATCGCCATATTATTGTGCTTAAAAAAAAACAATGGCATGTCCTCAGGTTGCGGATGGAAGAACAGCCTCCAGTTATGGAGGTTACCTGCTCATTCTTAACCTCAGCACTAAGTGGGGGTGACTGGTTAGCGTCATGCCCTAGCCACACTTTAACCCTGGGAAAGGAGGTTGGGTAGGGCCCAGAGCCAGTCTGGATGCAGAGGGTAGAGTAAAAACCCTCTGTTCCCGTCATATATTTATTATTCAAGTCTATACACAAACTTTTAAATTGTAGATGTTAAAATTTAAAATTTAAAATCACCATTAATATTCTGCGCCATTCATCGTTATTTCGATGTTACAATATTGCGCTATATATTACAACATGTTGTAATATATAGCGCAGAATATTAATGGTGATTTTAAATTTTAAATTTTAACATCTACAATTTAAAAGTTTGTGTATAGACTTGAATAATAAATATATATTTGAATTTTGAACACAAACATGACGCATCTAAACTATAAATATTATTATTTTGTTTGTCACCCTATGTTCATGTTTCACTCTGCTCTTTTATCACAAGCTATTTCTATGTACGTCAAACAAACAAACAAGCACAGAAACCTACAAAGACAGACAGGTGAAGGAGAACAGATGATCTACATCATGATGGATTACAAGATGCGATATTCAATATTTTGAAAGAGTTCCGTTCAAAACAGTTGTATTCAGCAATTGCCATAATATCTGTTTTTAAACACAAAGTGGTACACTAGCACAGTTATAAAATTCCAAGATCTCTGGACTTAAAAGGGGTTTCAAAAAAATACATTGATACATGTGTAAGACGCATAACTTCTGTCACGAAGAATGTTTGTCCTAAGACTGTCAAAAGTATTTAGAATAGCTACAAAGATGTCTAGAATTAACAATTCACGAGATTCTTTCCAAGCAGGTTAGAGCAGCAATAATATTATTTTTATATAATAGCAAAGCTTGTCACTGACATTCTTCATTCCATAACAAAAATTACACGTCTAAGAAACATATTTTTCCCCTCATATTAACAATTACAATTTATTGGGCAGTTTGGTGTATCAGTAACGCTATATACTTCTATTTGGAAGGTACTCTGAACACATTCCAGCTTACCAGACATCATGAAGTTAATCTACTTTTTCTTGTCTCTCCAGTACCTTCAAATAGGCCAAGACCTTCACCATTTAAATTCTTACCTACTTGCCCTTTACGATCACATTATTTTTTAATATAACAAAATGTAATCTCTGCAATTGAAACAGCAGTGTAATTTTAAACTGTTATATAATGATATTACTGAATACTGAACTCCTTCGCCGTGTCACTGAAATTGTGCCACAAAGGAAATTTTCACCCGAAATACCTACCCATGAGAACAAACTGAGGCATTCTTCTGTTTAATTTCAACAATTGTGATACTTGAAGTTCCTCACTGAAAACTATGAAATTTCTTGATGTGAACAGTGTAAGAACTGGTTCATAATTTGTTTCTTCTAAAGCCATTGTAATTACCTTCTTTCCATATTGTTTTAAATGCATATTCTGCTTCTTCAACATAATATTGATCTAAAACAAGAAATTCCACAAATTAACAAGAGTTTATTGTTTATTTAACGATGCTTGTATTATCCCAACATCTGCCTGGAGAACTGAGGAAAATCACAAAAACCCCAGTCAGGACAGCCAGTATCTGGGTCAAGATTTAAACCCTGGACCTCTCAAATACAAAGCAAGAGCGTTAACCACTCACCACAACGTTCGGTTAACTAGATCTGATCTGGTAAAGGTCAGTAGGATTTGAGGTTCTCATAACTGTAAGTATGAAGATGGCTGACTTCTGGGTTGTAACACTGAGTAGTCTGAAGTTTGACAATGTTTCAGAATTCCTTGCTGTCTCCATCATCACCCTCATGATGGAGGCAGAAAGGACCCCTGAAATGGTGGTAAACCTCTACCAAATTACACGGCACCACAACCCAGAAGACAGCCATCTTAGCAAAGGTCAGTTAACATTTATTTTGAAAAACAACCCAAAAAATGATGAAAAAGTCATGTTAGCTATTTTCAATAAAATGTTTAATACAAAACTTGTATATATGTTTATAATTCCTGGCACAAAAAAATATTTCATATAAAGTTCACAATCATGTCCATAACAATTCAATTACATTAAATCTCATTCAGAGAGCTCCAATTCTTCATCAGTTTTTGCCAGGAAATCTCCATTTAACACTATCGCCATATTATTGTGCTTAAAAAAAAACAATGGCATGTCCTCAGGTTGCGGATGGAAGAACAGCCTCCAGTTATGGAGGTTACCTGCTCATTCTTAACCTCAGCACTAAGTGGGGGTGACTGGTTAGCGTCATGCCCTAGCCACACTTTAACCCTGGGAAAGGAGGTTGGGTAGGGCCCAGAGCCAGTCTGGATGCAGAGGGTAGAGTAAAAACCCTCTGTTCCCGTCGAAGATTGAACCCACGTTGTCCAGTCAATAACCAGTCACTATACTGGCTCCTCCCTTGCACATAAGGTGAAAAAAATACATGGTATTTTGCAAGACCACACATTTTAACATTCACAATCCATAAGCCACATTCAAACTTACTCTAAATCTGTCATCTGCAGAAACTGGATTTGAATGGAAGAAAGCAACCAGTCTTGAATGATTGAACCAATTCAGCGCTTCTCTAGCTAAAATGTGTTCATATGGATTTTTCTGAAAAATAAATTAACAAATTTTATGACAGCATAAAGACATAAATTCATTCCATAAGTTATCGTTCTAAAACAGGGAGAGAAAGAAAATCACACACCTTCTAAACTGATTCTGGCTTATAAGCTGTAGTTGTTGTCTGGATATCCGTAATGCTTCAATATAAATTACATCTCTAAGTTCTTCCATGCGTGGTTCTATAAATTTTAGTTGTGAAATGTGTGCAGTGACTGAGGATACCAGTTTTTGAACATTGTAAGTACTCTGGTCCATAAAATCCCATAGTTTCAAAAGGGATTTTCTGTGGTTCTGTAAGTTTCATAACAATCACTAACCTAAATTCAGTGTATATAATAACTGTATATATATTGAATAGCTCTCTTTTTCTGCCGAGAAATTACTTACCATCCACACATGCCATGAACAGCTTTTCAAATGTATGGTCTATAATTAGTGCTGCAAAACTTTAAATTAAAGTACCTTAATTTTTTAATTGCTAGATTGTAATGACTTTGACTTTACGGAAAATAAAGAAGAAAGCCTAATGTATACTGCTTTTGATGAATAAGTATACCAATGGAGACAGACACATTATTTTCCTTTTGTTAAGAAATATAAGAAAATTACTCTCTCATTTCATATTCTTTTTAATACTGTAAATTGTTTCTTCAGTGTGGTAATTTGTCATTACTACTTCACAGCAAAATGAATTCCATTTATCAAAATACTAGTGAAACAAATTTATAACTAATAAGTAAAATACTGAATTTACCACAACTTCCTTGTAAGGAAGCACTTCAATTGGTTTCTCACATAGGTCAGCCAAGGACAAGCCTTTCCTAGGATTCAAATAGTATGGCTTACAAACACTTAGAACTTTGGCTCTCTCAAAATGTGGTGGTGCTGGTCTCTGAATATTTATCCGTTTTCTAAATCTGACAAACTGAAGTGACGTCTGCCATCTCAGCTGAAGACATACTGAAACACATAACATGGACTGATATTTTAACCCTCTGGACTACTGTGCTGACTTGTTTGATGTTAGAATATACATGTTGACATTTTTCAAAAGTCTGTCATCAGACAATCTAAATTTACTTTCCACCGTGTGTAGAAAAGAGTATTCAAGATTTTAATTTAAAAGCTGTCCACATGAACAGACAAAGAAACAAATGCAACAAAAATAATCCCACCAACCTTTCAACATGCATGCATGTGCAAAAGCTCATAGCACACTCACCTAGATTAGGGGTTCAAAGACAACTTTCTGCAGTAATGGATTTTTAGCATTACATCCATTCCTAAAAATGGTAGGTGGCTTTTAAGCACTTTAAGTTTAAGAAATGTATACAATTTTACCACGCTTACCTGTTGAGGTTAAAGCCGACATTGAAGACTCAAATTTTATTTACAAATATTATTATGCAACGCGGATTTAAGACTAAATAATCCTTAAATACATCAAATATTAATACATCAAGTGCACTGCACTGTCTCTTCTAACACTTAACCCACAATTACTGATATTAAAATCAATACTGAATCAACACCTACAATATATACCAACAGATATTACTGCTTCCAGCAGTGTCTGAAATAGATCGACCACGCGCGACATCTATTTGCAGCTGACTTACATTAACGAAGTACATCCATAAAGCAAAAGATGTCACAAATTGCCTAGAAATTTGTCATCACTCGTCAATCGTAACCAATCGGGACGCAGATGACAATAAAGCACGAAGACATTAGCATCGCGTCTTTGTTTCAAACCGGTATCCATTTATAATTTAGCCTTGAAACTACAGTCGTATACTTCATGACAAAAATTATAGGAATTATGAAACCAGATAATATGAACACCATGCAATCATAGAAGTTAAACATGTTCTTCTGCTACACAATTCTATTAATAACTAACTATCTAGATTGCTTACCGAACCCGAAGGTTCTTCACCGAATTAACCAAAGCCCTCCAACAGACACTGTCCTCGGACAACAAATTCCAGTCTCCTTCAACTCCTAACTCCCATAGATCCTGCATGACAATATCCTCCCTTCTACGTCTAGGTCTCCCCAGCGGTCTCTTCCCTTCAGGTTTCCCAACCAGTACCCGGTGCACACCTCTTGTCCCATCCATGGGCGCTACATGCCCTGCCCATCTCATTCTTCTCGACTTAATCACCCTGACAGTACTGGGGGAGGAGTATAAATTTTTAAGTTGATCATTATGTAGTTACCATTTTAGAGAGAGATTTTTTGAAGAGGTATGGGATGACATGGCCATTCGGTGAAGGCCAAGATAGTACCCTGTGACAGCCTCTTCCCAGACTCTTACGTACAGTCATGAGTATCTTCCCATCTTATTTGAAGCTATACAACCAGGAATGAAAATGGATGCAGATACAAGTAACAATAATCTACTTACTTCCAAGTGTTTTCTTCTTTATTTAATAAAGACATTTTCAGTGACTTAAGATGTCATAGTTTTTATTCCCAGTAATTGAACCATGTAGGCATCAAGTTTTAATTACATTCTAGTAAATTACTTTATATTGTACCAAGTGTTGGATATTCACCTGGCCTTTTCTATTGACCTTATCTTCTAAAATGTAATTTGCATCCTTATATACAACCTCTCTAGTTGAAAGAGACTCAATAAATAACCTACAAATCCATCACTTATACCAAGTCAAGTAACTTGGGAGAGATGCAAGTGTAGCCAAATTTAATTCTGTGGAATGTAAAATGTACAAAAACATACTTTTTACAGTAATCTACTTTATAACAGACATACAGATGACTGCTCTTAATTTGAACTCAAACAGCTAATTTATTGACCTTTCTCAATAAAGAGAAAGATATGTAAGATTTGAGGTTTTCACAGCGGTGAGTATGAAGACTTCTGTCTTCTGGGTTGTTGCGCTGTGTAGTCTGGTCGATGTTAACCAGACTACACAGAGCAACAACCCAGAAGACAGAAATCTTCAAGAAAAAGATAACTTATGAACAGATTAAACAGATTACAGTACTTCATGTCATACATTGAGAAAACTGAATGTCCCTCACAGGCACTTGTATTTCTTATTTCATACAACTGATCTGAAAAGTTAGCGCATCCTTGTTGTAAGATGTAAGAATTAAGAAAATGACAAACTTTTTACAGATGGATTCCTGGAACATACACTGAAACATACATAACCTTATAAAATCATTTATTGATCTGCAAATATGCTTTTGCTCTTGAGTTTTACATGCCTTGTATGTTGAGCAAAATGGACACATAGCAATCCTGTTCAGTGATAAAACTGGATGAAAGTCATTAATGTCATTTTGAATCAATGTTAGAATAGGCTGTACTACTTTAGTAGTTTTATATTTTTAGACTGGCTTTTGTCTACATTGTACAGGTAGTACAGCTTGGTAAGAAATCAATAACTGAATTCAGACCTCAAGACAATAACTGTAAAAGTTTATCCAGTTGTATAAATAAATTAGATTTTGTCTGGCAATGATAATGACTCCAGAATTAATTCAAATGACTGCAATGTTTGCAGCACTGGGTTATCACAATCTTCATTCACTTGTAATGGTGATGATCCTTCTGAAGAAGTTTGCTTGAGATTGTCTCCATCATCTGTGATTGTCTCATGGCACAGAAGAACCTTATCTTTATTAATATCATCCAATGACTGTTCATTTCCAACTCCCTGTGCCACACCTTTGCTGAGAATGTCCAAAGTGTTTGTCGAGTCTTCATTTAAGACTAGGTCCTGAACTACATCTTTACTCAGCACATCCAGTTCAGCACCTGTACCCTCATCTGCAAAAAGTTCTTGTATCATATTGTTATTAAGCACATCTAATGTTGAATCATCTTTATGGCTGGTCAGAGCCTGCAGCTGCTCATTGATGAGATTCCCCACAGTTGCACTCAATGTGCTTGAATCATCTGGACCTCCAAGTGGAACTTCACCACTGTTGAAACCATCCACAATAGCCGTTAGCTGTTGTATCTGTGAGTCATTAACATTATTAAGCATAACTGTAAAATTATCCCCGGACACCAACTTACTATCACTTCCTTTTGAATTCTTTAATATGCATTCAGTTTTTGTATTGTCCATAGATACGCTTTGCACATCGTCATCTGCGAGTAAAATTTTTGGATTAATGCTACTGCTAACAGAAAGAGTTTCTGTTCTAAGTGAGAGATGCTGATGAGCACTATTGCCCATATTTAAAATTTTTAATGGTGCCCCTACAACCTGGGTGGTTCTTTCACTATCAGATTGCACTGAATCATTTTGTTTTGCCATCTGAGGAATATGAACATTATTCATACTGTTATAAGTTAATGGTTGGAAAGAGAATTTTTCATTTGTTGGAACAAAAAGAGTGTTTAAATTATCTAACAAAATTATTGCTCCTTCATCATTATTAAGCAGAGTGTCCCTTTGGAAATTATTCAATGACGCCTCCTCCACATCCTTGGAAGTGACTGGCTGTGGTAGTTGAGTATTTAAACCTGTTATTATAAATGTTGTTGTGTTTCCATCTGTACTGCCTTCCAAAAGCTGAAGACCGTTGACAATAAAAGTATTTAGTTCAGGTGGCTTAGTCTCCCTTCTAGTGTTAGTTAATTGGACATCTTGCAACTGCTGTGCCCCCATACTAAATGGTTTTGAATTCTTTTCACTATCCAAAACTTTCACACTTTCTTGCCTTTGTTTCAAGTTTTCTGACACATTAATGCCTGAATGATTTACTGCTTTTAGTGTACGAATGCGATGCTTCCTCCTTTGAAGATTCAAAAGTTTCTCATCACCATCAGGATGGTGTTTCTTGAAATGAATTTTGAGCTTATCAAGACGCATTGTTTGATACAAACATAGTGGGCAATGCTCTAAGAATTCTTCTGCTATCGCATCGTGTTTAATGGCATGACGACGTAAGTTCTTGGACTGCGAGTATGACTGACCACAAACTTCACATTGGTAGGGCTTTTCTTTATTATGTGTCATGAGATGTGACACAAAGTTTTGCTTCCTGGCAGATTTAAAATTACATTCTGCATGTGAGCAAATAAACATGTTACTAGTATGTACAAGTGCATGTGCCCTGAATGTACTTTGATATGCAGTGCTAAAGCCACATTCGGAGCACAAATGTTTTTTCTCTGGAGTGTGCACTATCATATGATTTTGTAAACCTTGTTTCCATTTGAATGCTCTATTACAAAGAGAACAAGAAAATGGCATTTCTGTGGAATGTTTTGGAGTATGAGTATTCAATGATGCTCGTGTCTGAAACCTCACATTACAAATACTACAAAAGAAAGGTTTCGGATGATTGTGTTGTTTAAGATGATCTTTCAGTTTCTCTGGAGTTTCTGCCTCAAAGAGACACAAAGAACAAACAATCTCTTGATGATCTGCTTCCAGTAGATGTTTTATCAATTCAAATGCTTTGTAGCTGGAATATCGGCAAGCATAACACGTGTTTAACCTTCCCCGGTGTGTTTCACGATGTTGGTGTAACAGTACGGTGCTTGAAAATTTCAGGTCACATATATGGCACATATATGGATCACTTGATTTAGAACTATCCTCATTACTGTTTGAAAGTGAATGCTCAGTCTTCCTCTCACTGTTAGCAGTAGCAGTTACAGCATTCACACACTCATCCAAACTATTAGTCTGATTTGTTAACATAACAGAATCACTATTTGATGCAATATTTCTTCCAGTATCTTTAGTTTCACTGCCCTTTTGAATATCAGATGCTTCTTCAGACCTTTTCTGCTCACCATTATTTCCATTACTAACACTATGTTCAATCTCAGTGTGTACTGTATCTGTCTTTGACTTTTTAGGGAACTGCTTACTCAGAAATTCTGATTTCCTCTTTCCTTGTGATGCATATTTTTCATTGTATTTCTCACAAATCAACAATAACTCCGACACCTCAAGAACTGTGCTTATGGATTTGACATGATCAACATGTTCTTTAAGAATGTGTATTTTCCCTAAATACATAAAGTCCAAAACTTTTGCAGTACAATCTGGGCAATCAAATTTCTTTCTCCCAAAACCTGGTTCTTGGATAGGAAGTGTCAAATGCAACGGATTTCTTAATGACCAATGTTCCAAAATATCTTTCTGTATAGAATCATTTATGTGACTGATTTTATTATGTTCAGACACTCCTTCTAATGTTGACATGAACATGTCATTAAAATAGGGACTGAAAGAGGCTAACACACAAGAATGCACAGAAAACTTAACACCTCCAACATTTAATATAACATCACAAAATTTTCCAGTCCGTCTCTGAGAATATAAACAAGAAAGAAGTTTGTTGGGAAGGTTTTGGTTGACAGAAATGCAACTACCACTTTCCTTATTCGCCATGCTTAGACTATGGATAAACATCAACACATTTACTGAAATTCGGCAATTTGATATCATAAGTGGTGACATCTTTGCAGCATTGACACGAACCACTACTATAAGAAACGCACTGAAGATGGCTGCTTTCAGGGTTGTTGTGACTTGTATTCTCGTATAAACTACTACCAGGATACTTGGCCATTATCGTCTTCGCTACACTGCATAACTGAAATGTCATCAAAAATTCTTATTGTTCACAATACATGTAACAAAAGGTTGTCGGCGGTTTCCAAACCACGTGATTATGCGGACCAATTACAAAGCAGTTGAAACAAGTTGGATGGTAATCATTTGTAATCTTAATTTAAAGTTTGATGGTTTGTTTTGAAAAAAAATTTGAAGGTGAAATTTTTCAATGTTTTTTTTGGTTTTGTGCGCTTTTTGGATAATTTACAGCATTTTTTGATTTTTTGAAAATTTTGAAAAATATCAAAATTCTCCCCACTAAATGCCTTGGGGAACCAGTCTCTTTCGGACCGTCTCTGAGTAACGCGATCTGAACTTACCTCAGTCTGCACGAACTGGTCTCTATATGACAGTCTCTGACGTGCTGAATGCATAGCAGACAACACTTAAGGCAGAGACCGAGACCGAGGGAGACAGGGTGATGGATATCGAGACAGCCAAGCACATGGTCTATCAGGGACCGTGTCATGCCTTGGCAGTTAGACAGGGTGAGGCCATCACCGGGTCTGGCAGTCATTACTTCGGGAGACTTTTGAAAAAATGTTCAAATTTTTTAAAATTTTCAAAAAAACAAAAAATGCAGTAAGTTGTCCAAAATGCGCACAAAACAATTTTTTTTAAAATATTCACACTTAAAAAAAATTTCAAATATTTCAAAAAAATTTGGTTTTGTGCGCTTTTTAACCGAATACAAATAACGAGAAAAATTCCATCAGAACAAAATACATACAAAGAATTTAAAAAATAATATATGTAATAAGACACTTAGACTACAAAACAATGCCAACAATATTCACTGCTCTTACAAAGCTATTGATGATTTAAAAAAAATGTATTTTCATTGAAGATGTTAAGACAAACTCATACTCACCTTACTCTAGAAGAAACAAAAATCTTTGCGATTCTGTATCAGACATTTCCCTCCATGTTTATGTGTAACAGATAAAAATATATTGTGAACTGAGGATAACACATGAAATTATGCCAGGACAGCTTTCTTCTATATCCCTTTCGAATTCATTACATTTCAGCTTTGAAGATGGAGACAGTATGTTGCTCCGAAAGCTTGGCATCTACCTACGAGTCTGCGTAGCAATAGAATAGAGAGCAAAAATATCCTTACAGCTGTGAAAACCTCAAATCTCGCATTATACACTGACGCTATATATTCGGAGCTGTTATAAGCGTCATGAAATATAATAATATAAATCTATTGTTAAGAACTAATTTGGAACAGAATTGTATTTTCATCGTGTTTCATTACATACGATGGTCGAAAATTCACGCCCATCGCTTCACTTTTGTTTTGTTTGTGTTCGATGTATGATCCCTGTGTTACGTAAACGACTTACGAGACGAGATATCGATTTAAGTGACAGATAACAATCGAGAAATGTATCCCAAAACTTATTCTAGCAGATTAAATAAGAACGAGATGCCAGGTTATGTTCGTTGCACTTCTGAAAAAGACATCCTTGCACTTTGACTGTTTGAAGACAACTGTCGGACTGGCCCGAGCAGGTTACATGACGTAAACTGCGTGGGCTATTCTATAGACACAGCGAAATTGCGTGTTTATTAATCAAACACAACTGTATTGAACTGGAACTATCAGTAAGTTATAATTCAGATACAAGACATTCGGAATATGCACGTATATTTTTGGAGAGTTTTGTAATTTAGAAAGGATATAAGGATACAATCCTTAATTCTTTTCGTCTTTTGCATGTTGTACTACGCTCTGTGACAGGACTAATCTACTGTTTACCAGCGTATATTTTTCAATTTTATTTCTTCAAAAAACGTTTCAAGAAATCTTTTAATCGAGTTGAATATGTATCAGTCCTATATTATGATCCTTCTTTTGAGTAAAGCTAAAACAGTACGATTATGCCCAAAATAAATGTTGTATTTTATCGATTGGAAACATAACGTAATCAAGCCGACAAATTTTGAGGTTATACATTATATTAATAAACATTCGTTCTATATTTCAGAGCCGAAATATAAAGTTGGACAGACACAACCTTCATATTCTGCGTTCAGTTCACATACTTCAAACAAAGAGATCGACTACTCTCCCGCCCAATTATTTTGATAATGTCATCGATTCTTGATCAATATCGACAGACTCTCTGAATCGTAATAGAGTAAGTCGTCCTTGCTGAAAGCCACGACGTGACTAATGCATGTTTCTTGGTATTAACAAAGAGCAATGTCTCTGCATTTCGATTTGTTTCACAACCTAACCTTACTAGGTAAGATTCTGGTTAAATGGATCACATCGGGACTAGAACACTTTGGCCCAATTAACCGGAAGTAACTGGTTGTTTGGTTTGGATAAAATAAAGAATTGAATGCTGTTTTGTAACTTGAATTTTAGCTTGTGTAATATATTTTTGAATACCAGATACCTACTGAACGACACGATCGAGTAGTTAGCATTCCTGTTTCGTATTGTGGCCGCCGCGAGTTCTGATGTCTCTCCAGTATCGACTGTTCTGACTGAGCCATTGGCCGTGTCACATGTGTGAAAATTATATAAAGTTATTGAACTTATTTTTTCTTTAAAGAATATAAACCTAACAATTATTTATTTTAATCCGTCTTATCACAATATTTAAAATTTCTTATAATTAAGATAATAAAATATCATTGATGTTCCATATCGATCAATCGATATGGAACATGTTCCACAATGTAAATCGATCAATCGATATGGAACATCAATGATATTTTATTATCTTAATTATAAGAAATTTTAAATATTGTGATAAGACGGATTAAAATAAATAATTGTTAGAATATTCACAATATGACGCAATTACACTATCTTAATATAAACCTATTTAAGATTTTCATTAGCAAATACAGCTTCATTAAAATAATATACATTTTATATCTTATAGCAGACTTTATTGCATTTATATATGTTCCACACTCTTTTTTTTTACATTTTTTAGTTTGTTTGTAATACATAATGCTGCAAAATAAGAATACGTAATGATATAATATTATGTACACACTCAGAAAGCACGAGTTGAAGCTAAAGGTTTAATTTCCTCGTTGTCAACAACAAATGACTATAATTTTCACATTTGGGGTACCGAAAATTTTTACGTCTACAAAAGTCAGAAGA